GAAGGATGGTCGAGCCTTGAAGGATGGTCAAGCCTTGAAGGATGGTCAAGCCTTGAAGGATGGTCGAGCCTTGAAGGATGGTCAAGCCTTGAAGGATGGTCAAGCCTTGAAGGATGGTCGAGCCTTGAAGGATGGTCAAGCCTTGAAGGATGGTCATCACTTTCAGGTCAGCTCCGCAATGGATGGTCAGCACACCCAAACGGAATAGAACGAACGGGCCTTCCCATAAACGGTCATAATGAATGACGATAATTAATATCATCAATAATATATGTGATGACTAGTCAGGACTGCTACAGTCAATCCCAACACAACGCCCGCGACGATATCTTCCTCTCTGAGTTCCACTTCTACTTTTGCTGCATGGTCTTGTTCCACTCTCTGCTTTGCGGCGAGTCTATTTTCAGGATGCCAACTGGGCTTTTGCCACACTTCTTAATTACTCTCATCATCCAGCACCTACATAGTACTTAGTAGAACATCCTCATACTCCGGTGGAGATACAGCAAGCGCAGCTTTTGGTCCCTCAGCAGTAGCTTGTAGATAACCTTCTTCATCACCCCCTCTGAGAACAAAACATCCTCGGGGGCCCTTGTCTTGCCAACCACCTGCATGTCATTTCGCCTCCCATCCGCAGAAGCGCAGAATGGAAATCCGATTCTTTTCTTCCACCCCGCAGTTGCGCATCGTTCCGCCTTGCCGTGCAAGAGCCCCCCCCCCAGCAGTTTTGGAGGCTTGGTGCACTGCTCCCGGTCCTCTGGTGCTTTCGAACGGCCGGAAGTCCGGAAGTCATCTCTGCCGAGTCGCACCAGGCGCCAGCAATAACGCAGAAACGTTGCACAGTTGGAAGGTCTAGGAAAACGATAACTTCCAATTCTCTGGGCTGCCATTGAGACATGACTATATAGTTATGGAGGGGCCGAAACGGCGAAGCCCGCCACTTGCGAATGGATTAAACTCTCATTCCAGTATGTCACCTGCTTTTCACGGATCGCTTCAGTTCTTTACAGGCTTTCGCCCTTGGTTGTGTGGCTCAAACAAAGCCTCTGACACTAACAAGTACCGCCCAAACTGAGGACTCTTGGACTCAATCTTCTTCCAGGACATTCTTCTGCCCCAACGCTGCGCGTATACGCGGCAAAATCCTGTTTGGGAGGACCGGCATCGCAGCTTCCAGCACCCAATCTAAGGGAAGCATCGCAGCTTCGAAACTAATGCACCTCTGCCAAACATGTCAGGGCTGCTGATTCAGGGCTGCTTTCTCCAATCCGGCTCCAAGACCGGGAACAAATGCCAAATGCTGTCCAAGATGGTATTCTGAATGGGGATTCATCCGGGGAAAAGCATGACAAAACAGGATTGCTACCCCTGTCTGGCGGTAGGTTTTGAAGGGAAGCACATTGAGTATGAACAAGCAACCCTATTGCGTGGTCGCCATGGCTAAACTAGGCCGTACCTAGATGGGCAACAAATACTGCAGCAGGCCTCAGTTGGATCACATAAAATACTATAAAACTATGCTTTGAGTCATGCCAGCTTGGCAAAGTATGATGCTCAAAACCCGTTTAAGTACTTTCAGTAAGGTTTGGTACCAAGAATCCCGTGAAAATACATCCCATGTTTTTTTTTCCAGAGTGTGTTGGCTTTTGTGCCATCCGTACATATGGGGTCACAAGCCCATCCCCCCCACCAAAACATCCTGAATCTCCAGGGGGGTCTACTGTTCAACAACGGGGCCCCCAGTCGCGCTGGCGGACTGGGGATGTTGGGGGTGGCCCAACTGCGCGTCCACCAAACAATGACCAAACCCAGGGGTGGTGCCTCTGCACTTGAGGCCAAGAATGATTTGTGATCCATATATATATATATACATTCCCCAGGGCTCCAGTCGTACCTCCTCAGGTTCGGTATGACTGGACCCTTCTGGCACCCGGGCCCATTCCTTCCTTCGAAACGAAGGTACGACTGGAGCCCTATAGGGATTGGACCACACGTGCGCACTCGGACGCCCACGAAGTGAACATGGGACCGTTCGTCGAGCGATCTGCGAGGGGCGTTCCAGGACCCATGTGAGTGAGTGAGTCTAGGTGTCTGTATTTGGCCTTATGGTATCAAGGCCTTGCCCATCCAAGCAAGCCTTGAGCCCCAGCTCACTTGGAGCATCTGTGTTGGGGCACATGGCTGAAACTCAAGCACATGGCAAACAGGGTGCCGATCTACGAATCTGCAGGCATTGCCAGGCAAGATGGTGTCAGACTGATTAGAGTGGGGTGTCCCCTTTCTCCCCCCCAAAATGAGGCTAAAGAATGCCGCAATTCACTGACCGGTTAGGTGATGACCCTAGGCCCAGAAAAGGACGTACATCACTCCAACATCTTCATCTTCACTGGCTGTGCCCAGGCTCCAGATGCCCAGGCTTCAGGCAGCAGGTGTCAGGTCCTGGGTGGACACACCTGCGCAAGAAGAGGTCCAACATGTTCTCACTCCGGACACTTCACCACACCAGGTGTGACCGCCGGTTTGACCGCCGGGTTTCACGCCAAATTGCCGGTTTGAGGCCACCGAAAGAACCATCATAGCCAAATCACCGAAAACGACTCAGGCCGATTCTGTATCTATATAGATCTTCCATGATCTTCCAACTATGCAACATGTCAGCCTTTTAATGTCTTCTTTCCAGCCAAGTTCGGCAGAACCTGGTATACCTGGTGTTCCCTCTCCCATCGAAAAAGCCATGGTTCCCAAACCTCAGACCTGGACTGAGTGGAAGATCACCTGCGCGTGTCATTGGCCTTCACGGGGCGGATATAGGGATCCTGGAGCGCCTCGTGCACCTCGTCTTCGCGCACGCTCGCACGGACCAAACAATCCGTGGCGGAGTGTTCCGTGCCGGGCTCCTCTGGGTTTTCAGCTGCGGGATCCGAACCGCCGAAAACGCACCCGATTCATTCATGGTGTGCCCTGTCAAGCCCCCAAAAATGAGTGACCTGTGACCTGTCCCTTGTCTTGGACATGTGGGGCGCTGCTGGTCGGACGTGCGGTCGTGCCGAAACGAGGTCCGTTGGAGATGTCCATGGTCAAAGGACATGGCCCATTCAAGACCGGTTCCGATTCCAGGTCTGAGAGGACCACAATGGACCACAAGCACAGAAAGTTTCATACAACCCATCACTCAAACACAGTCGAAAGAAAGTAGGCCTTCTAGTAGCTCCTGGCCTCTATGCTTTGGAGGCAATGGTCATGCCTGCCTGAACAATATATATAATTAAGCAGAACATGACAGGGAAAAAGAACATGTCATGTCTAGCTGCTAGGGTCTTCAGGTATGTCCGTCAAGTCAAGTCCTTCAAAGATCTTCAAACAATGTACAGTTCAAAGAACTCTCAGGGTCTTCAGGCATTAGTCAAGTCAAGTCAAGTCCTTCAAAGATCTCCAAACAATGTCGTACAGTTCTAAAAACTCTCAGGGTCTTCAGGTATTAGTCAAGTCAAATCAAGTCCTTCAAAGATCTGCCCAAAATATACAGTTCTAACAAAAAACGTCAAGAACCAGCTTCTTCAGTTCGTGACCTCTTTGGAGTGCCAGCCAGTTACCTGTTACAGGCCCTTTCGTGACCTCAAACTGCTCAAACAGTGATATCAAAAGGTCAGTTCGAAGAACCAGGAATAAGAATCCGTATAGGTACCATTCACGAACTTCACGAGCCTCTTCACATCTGCTCAAAACGGAAATTTCCAGCATGACCAGCCAACATTTGTCCAATTGCCTGTACAAACACCTTTTGGGGTATATAAGGTCTTGCATCAACCTCCTCGACCTCCTAGAGCAAATTTGCTCAGGAAGCCCCTCCACCTAGAATACCTAGAATGCTCCAGCTGGGGCTAACATCAACACTCCCAAACAAAAACGACAGAACATGCTCCAATGCTCAACCACCCCCCCTGCATTGGTGGCTCTGGCACGTCTGGGCGTTGGTCTCGGTCTCGAATCAAGAGCCTCTTGAGGAACTCCTCACGGGATGGAATGATCAACTGAACAGCTATCAGGCATCAGATCTATCAAACAAACACAAAAAACAACGTATATTGTGCGCACTAATGCAGGTCGGTCCATCTTATATATATCTTATGTGGTCATGACAGATATAATGTTCCATTGACGCGTCCAACTCTTCAGAACCGTAAGATAAAACAAAAAATATAAACACCTCAAACGTCTGAGCACCTGGTTCTTCAAAGTGACCGAACTTGATAACCTGGTTGGTTCGGTCACGAACAAGCCTCCTGTTTGGGTCACTTAAG